CAAGGTACACTAGGTTACAGGATAACTTAAATTCAAAATTCTCTTGTTGATAACACAACTCACCATTATACTGTTGGAACAGACAGGTTGGTTTCAAAAAATATCCTTTCGTCAGAAAAAAAATTGAGCGAGCTCCACGACTCGCTGTGAGCAACTGATGCCAATCCAAATGACGTCCCCCCTACTACCATCTACCCTTTCGATACGCAGAGAGTCTCTGTGTACGCTTGGCTTCGCCTATCCCCGCTGATAGTGCGCTATCCAACGACTGAGCACAATATAGGCCCGTCTGTCGCTGTTTATAAACATACGTGCTTGCTTACGTCGTATGGGCCAAGTCTCGTCTCGTCTCGTCTCTTTCTGATTTACCTCACCAATGAAGTCACCTCCGTCTAAAGCGTAAGATGAGAACAAACATACACGGAGAGGACTTGAAATCGAGGTAGTTTCAGCCCAAGGGTTCACCTTCACCTCACGAGGTTGCATAGAAAATAATTTCTCCATTTACGCGGTGAATTTGTTCCTGAAAAACACAGAACAAATTAACACGTTAAGATATGTAAACACAAACTAAAAATTCTGAAGTGTTCGCCAGAATTTTACCTTCGTGGTGGTTATACGGGAATTAACCGGGTTATAATTCGCTACCCAATCAATTCTGTGAACAAAAATGAATGTAGATCTTCATTCAAAATGACCGATCTTGACCAAAATCGGAATCTGTCGGGACAATTTTGAGTTAAACTTTTCAATGTCAAATTTCGTAGAAACCCCATAAGCAGTTTACGAGTTTTTACATGAGGACAGACGGACGGACAGACAGATATGGCGATACTAATATGCTCATCTTACCAAGTTTTGTTATTGTTCTTATATATTATTTGCATCAGCTAGGAAATTTCGAATAGATTTGACGACTAACTGAATTTTTAGTTCCTCCATGATTAAAATCGATTAATTTATCAGGGCTACCAACATATTTTCTTTCTCTTCAAAATTTATATTTATAATATTTCGGCCGGGACGTGAGGTACAGACATTTGTGGATGCTGTGATTTCCAAGGAATACCCTGCAATATATTATTTCTTGGTTACGTAGATGATCAATCCAATCAGGACATGGATCAAATTAAGACACAAAAGAGCTGCGAAGAGTGTGAACTGAGAGAATTTACGTCTACCTGTAGAGTTACGAATTGGGACGACTGGACGACCGCTGAAACACAGCCTTTGGGGGCAGTGGCATTATTCAGTTGTTTTATGAGACTTGTTATATACATTATATAATTTACGGTACCATTACTGATGTGAGATCAAAGTTGCACAGCCGACGGACATCTGTAACCTTGGAGTTTGGCACTTGCCTATAAACCAATGGTTAATTACCTGCTATAAGAACACATAAACACATCTAAACAACAGACAGTTTTGCTTGGTTGGCGACTGAAACATAAGATTTATTCATTGACTCTTGCCCGCTTTTATTTTTATTAATATTTCGTTTTCAAAACTGACAATTTGTAGAGAAATACACGAACATATGTTTTAAACATAGTTTTCTACTCATTCAATTATGTCGGAAAGTAATTGTTGACAGAACAACAACTGGTGAAATAATACAATGTATATACAATGTGATTATTGTTGAAATATACGTAATTTGGTTGCTTTTAAAATCTCTCTATTTTGTAATTATTATACTATGCTTATTTATTTCTCCTTTCAATAGAAATGTTTTTGTTTGTATTACTTTAGAATTTACCTTTATTTTTGACGGCTAATTTCTCAGTTTTATCTATAATCAATCCCCAAACACCATCCAACGAGCACAGAATACAGAACAGCGATTCTGAAGTGATAGGAAAATTAATTTGAATTTATAACAAAAAAAGTTCCTGACGACGACGATACTTAAAACTAAGTCAGTCCTACTTTTGTCTGCTTTCACCGTGTGGACGTGAGCTGTGTTGCCGAAGTTTCAGAGTAACGTATTGCCTCCATTATCAGGGATCATGTAATATTACAACAACAATAATAAGTATTGGTAGTGGATAAAAATATCGGTACAATTATCATCAGTTATTATTATTTCCTATAATATACCTGTTATTACATTACTGCAATATACGGAAAAAATATATCGGTATCAAAAGTCAAATAATTACCTCAGAAATAGTTTTAATTTCCTTCGCATGCAAGATGTAATTGTCTTTTGTCGTACAAACGTTCATCGGATAATTGGCAGATAAATAGTATCAATCACGACTAAACTATTTCCATTCTGTCAGTAACGCCCTCTATCACATCACTCTTGCACGCAAACTCATTTGAGAACACGTCACGCATGAAAGGCTCGCTCTAGTCATTAAAACACAATTCAACAACGCTCGACTTTTAACCTGTTACATACAGCGCTCAGCTCTGTCATACAAACGTGACGTGAAATCTTCGCGATTCTCTCTTCACTTGTTCCAACCTGGGCCTCTGTGTTGCAAGAGACGCTAGTGTGGTGGCGTGCTCTGCAAAATCATTTGTGATTTGGCTGCCAAGTGCCTGTAATCGGACTGGAGTGTCGCCATGCTGAACACAGCGGTATAATAAACCTATTTTCAATGAAGTTTCAAGTGCTAACGCCAGCATATAGCAGCGATTCATACATCATAGCGAAAGAGGCTTTATATTTGTCAGAAGTGTTAACAGCTCTGTTAATTAAACTAATGTAAGTAAACAAATACTCTCTTCCAGGCATAACACGCTTTATACGTTTCATCGTACTGTAGTTGAATGTGGTATTACCCCCTTCAACATCTTACGCAAATTTCGAAGTGATAAATATAAATCCCATTGGTCTAATACATATACAACGGACTCCCAATAACAACGGTTGGTTGGAAAATATATTATTCCGAATAATCCGCAAAAATGAAATAAAACACGCAAATATAACAAATACGCAAGTTCATTTACAGACTTACACAACAAAAAGTTTCGAAATATTTACTAATAACAGAAAGAATTTTATATAACATTTAATACAATATTTATCAACAGTTTTTAAAGGTCTGCTAATGTTCTATTGCAATATACTTCAGATTTCGGCAATAACTGATTTATGTTAACACGTGAAATAGTGTCATAGCTTTTCATTCTTCTTCTATGGCGCAACAGCCCAAAGTCGAGCCTTGGCCTCCACCCATGTGTGAGGTCTCTTTGGCTTTGAACTGTACATTTATTAGTAGTGAGCGATAAGCCCACTGCTTCAGCACAATCCAGATTTGTCTGCTAGAGCCATCTATTACTGAATCAGGAGAGACACGGGTGAGAAATGGCCGCTCAATTTTGCTTACGAAACATCTCGTTCACGCCGTAAATCTACGATATGGGACCGCCGGCCGTTGCTTCCCCTCTGAAGGAAGTTGTACTACGGATTTTTATCACCCTTAAAAATCCATATCCACTGGCAGGCACGCCAACTACTAGTCCACGGAGGGCGACAGCTTATTTATTCCATTGTTTTTTTTAAATATTCTAGCTTTTACAACAATTTATAAATTACTTTTAAATTTTCGATTAAACCTGGCAGACCTCGGATAATCAGGAGTCTATTGTACAGCCCAATAGAAGTAACCTCAAAGTATGGATTGGGGTGCGGCCTGAATTCATCTGGCTTGAGAGAGGGACCAGTGGCAGAATCTAGTAAACAAGGTAATTAATGAAGATGGCCGTCTTATGGGTTGTTGTGCCGTGTAGTCTGGTAACAACCCAGAAGACAGCCATCATCAGACTCACCACAGTGAAATCTCAAATCCTACAAGGTAATTAATATTCAGTTTCCATAAAAATGCAGGGAATTTCTTGATTAGATGAGCCACTGTTTGCTTCTGAAGAACTTTACTGGATGGAGTCTGTAATCAAACATAATAATCAAGAGGCATTTTGCTATCGAACTAGAACATAAATGTTATCAAGAAAAATTAGGTTATGTGATTCTCCCCTACTCCTTTTAAATCGCCATGCATCATTAATTAAGCCTGAGACACTGAATAATGTTTAATACACATTAAAAAATCATAATAATTAACTTCTAACTCTAACTTAAAATTCAAATTGCAACACACTAAAACAGCGTTTAAAAAAACCATTAATACAACTTAACAGAAAAATGTAGTCAAGTGCACAGCCTTCTTGGTTTTGGTTCCAGTGGCAAAGGTTTGGTTGTCAAGAGGAAACATCTTAGAAACAAGAACACTGATGGAAAATTAAAACAAAAGAATAATCATTACAATGGGTTATCAAAACTGTAGTCTGCAAGCCTGAAGGGAAGAGGTCACTCAAAAGACCTACACACTGGTGGGAAGTAATATTAAAATATATATTAATGATATAGAATGATAGTATGTGGACCAGATTTACCTGGCTCAGGTCTGGAACTGGTGGCAGGCTCTTCTGAACATGATAATGAACCTTTGGGTTCCATAAAAGGAAAGGAATTTCTTGACCAGCTAAACGACTATCAACTTCTCAAGAATGGCTTTGCTACATAGGGTTAGTTAATTAGGATCAACTTCCACTGTAACACATGCAGAACGATATCTTACTAAGATGACTGACTGGCTTCTGTGTTGTGTGTAGTCTGGTATAAGTTTACTGACATTTATCATGATGGAGGCAGGAAACACTTCTAAAAAGTCAATTAACTTCTACCAGACTACACAGCGCAACACCCCTCTTAATGGTACCTGCACCTTGTCGTGGTGGTGGGGCTTGAGTACCTCAGTGACCCCAAGAGCTACTGGTAGGGCCTCCCTAGCCAGATTGTTCGAGGGGGAGAGGTCAGACTAAGACAGGTACCCTGGTCCTCAGCGCAACAACCCGAACGACAGCCCTCTCCATACTTACCACCACGAGAACCTGAAATCTCACATTATCATATTACTTTTTGTGCAAGAGGATAGAAATGGAGGTCTAATATAGTAACGAAGTAAAATGAAACTCACCAAAATATTCTACATTACATTCTCCAGTCACAAGGAATACATGTCGAAATGATGTGAAGCATAATTAACATTCGTCATACAGGATTAAAGTATTTAAACCCCTGTACTATGGGGCTGCAAGCCGGACGTTTAACTCGCGAGCTAATAGTTCAGAGCTATGCTAGTTTGACACATGGCCAACTGAATCGCGCTTGAGCCACGGCATGCAAACCATAAAATTTAATGGAACTGCTTTCAAAGCACCGGAAACACAAAATTTAAAATTGTACATTTTTTTCACGACCATATAATTAATCAAAAAAGGAAATACTGTATGATTATCCTTCATTGTAAATTTTCAAAATCAGGAAAATGCACGTATATAACATAGTTCATTGTATTAACCTGGCAGTTTCTATAACATACAATGGTAGTTAAATGTTTTGAAATGGATTATAATATGATATGAATTATGCTAATTTTTCAAAACACAAAATTTGCTGCTGATCACTGCACCAAGAGACAGACTTCGCTGCCACGATATCTTTGAATACAAGAAAAACACTACAGATATTCTGAGTCAACATATAAATTACACATGATTATTTAAGTAGATTACTGCAACAAATATAAATTATTGTAAGTAATATCCAAATTATAAATCACAAAGTACTGTCGAACAATTAGAGCAACAGCTTCCATACAATATCTTAAATGTACAACAAAACTGTTATATGTAATTAACATAAATCAAATCATTACATACAGTAGACCACATAAAACATTAATATTGTTTTTAAAGTTAAGTAAGAAGCAGACAACATTCTACTGACACTACAGTAATGTATGTACTTCAATGGGATCTAGGCTTAAATATTATTTCATTCTACAGCTGAAAATAATTTACCATATTTATCAAAACAAGGAAACAATTTTTCCAACCAACCTCTTCAATAATTAAAGTACTCGGCATAATTCGTGAGTTAAACATTTCAATGTCCAAATACCATTCACAAAATTATCGTAAGAAAAAAGGAAAATAGACGACAAGACAGCAGCCTGAAGCACGAGAATCATCAAAATGAAACAAAATAAATTATTGAATTATCATTACAAAAATTTAATGTTTGATTTTGCTAAATATGGTAAAAGAAATTAGTTCTTAACATGATATAATGGACTGATGTATTTAGAAAGCTAATCCTGCTTCTTTGTACGTTGTGAAGATCTTCTCGATAGAATTCACGTAAGCTGCGGTTCTCAAATCTAGTCCAAGATTGAATTTCATTGCAGTCTTCATGATGGCCTGTAAGGGGAATATAATTCTTACATAATGAAGAATCTTTATGAGCAAAACTGACAACTTCCTGAAAAAGCAACTAAAAAACTACTAGACTGTCAAATGTTCCAGCAACATTGACGTAAAAATAACAGAGAAATGAAAATTTGTACGTAATCACACAAGGGTCGTCGTACTAAATAGTTACCTACTGTCAACTGTTATGTCTATAAACATTAGTGTACAGAAATGTGGATTATCACGTTATGGTTGGGTCATTAGTTCAGAGCAGTTGTTCTCTCGTACATACACGACATGACGCAAAATGGGATTGTGCAGGGCATTCTTGACGGGTCACAATGCAGCTTACTATTTCCAAGCGAACATTAAGCGATAAATGTGGGTATCTATGAAAAAAAGTTTAGTCAGTATCGAGAGATTGGACTGACATAAGTTGTTTTGCTACTCAGCTTTCCCAGTTTAATTATGTTATTTACTTTGTGAAGGACGAAAAGCAACATGGCAAAGCGGTGCATGTGAATGCACCTGCACATAATATACGCAGTATATAGCCGCAGTGAATTATTTATATATTTCTAGTTTTACGGAGTTCAATTATGGTTCATCTCATTTCTCTAACTAACTAGATGGCTTACCGAACCCGAAGGTTCATCACCGAATTAACCAAAGCCCTCCACCGGACCCTGTCCTGGGCCAACAAAATCCAGTCTCCTTCAACTCCTATCTCCCATAGATCCCGCCTGAGATTATCCTCCCATCTACGTCTAGGTCTCCCCAGAGGTCTCTTCCCCTCAGGCTTCCCAAATAGTGGACCCAACCAACCAGATGGCTTACCGAACCCGAAGGTTCATCACCGAATTAACCAAAGCCCTCCACCGGACCCTGTCCTGGGCCAACAAAATCCAGTCTCCTTCAACTCCTATCTCCGACAGATCCCGCCTGACATTATCTTCCCATCTACGTCTAGGTCTCCCCAGCGGTCACAACAACAGAAGTCTAATTTCTAAAACTTACAAGAGCGTTAGAATGAAGAACACGAACATTGACTTCTAGCAATCTAAATTTCAAATCTTGTACCACTGAAAACATATTAGACTGTATGAATGAAGCAACAAATTCTGAAGCTATTTGTTGTTTTGAAACAGAAGTATGAAAGAAAGAAGGGCAATCAACCGCACCTCCAAGCTAAAGCACCATCTGCTGCCAAGCCCACTTACTAATAATACTTCACGGGCCCTTACCCTTGCAGAGCGTTCCATTGTGTAGTCTAGACCTGAATGCACAATATCTTTCTCTGATGCACCAGAGATTCTTTTCTGGAATGCTTCAGAGGGGGTTACAGGAATCCGACCCCCAACGCGTCCAAACCTTCGCTCCAGTGATTCCTGTACAGATTCTGAAAATGATACAAAGTGATGTAGAAAATAAATGTTTTCTATTGTTTACATTTATGTCTAAGGCTGAAATAAATGCATTAAGAAATTACAATAAAAATATTGCTTGTTTGCAGACACTGTTGTCAAATTGCTTTAATATACAACTTCCCTTCTCAAAAACCTAATTTTTCATGATATTTCTGGACAAAGTCTGAAAGGGGAGGGGACAAAACAACAACCATTAATTACTTGCACGTATTTCTGTACATGAAGCCTTACTTACCAAGCAAATGATAATTCGACTCTCTCTCATACTTAAATGTTAAGCGACCGTATGACACGTGATTGAGGTTCTTGAGCCACTCAAAGAATGACACTGTGACACCACCAGCATTTATGTACAGATCAGGAATGACAAGAATATTACGATCGATAAGAATTTTATCAGCAGCCGGAGTAGTTGGACCATTAGCTGCCTCCGCAATAATCTGAGAACAGAACAACTTAATAAATACTGGATATATTCAGATCTACCCAAGACACGGTATTCCAAAATTGGGCACCAGTGAGGTGCAGCCCTTGCACTTGCTCGAAGGGAGTGACGAACATACGTAAGCGCCTGAGCAAAAGCAGACTTTGAAGCCCTAACCCTCAAATATAGTACACCCCTCTAGAAACTCAGATAAATTACGTAGCATAAAATTCAAAATGAACTTCTAAGTGATTCAATTTATAATCTCTTTATGTGTGTGAATTTCATGAACTGTTAAAAGCTCAATTCTTCATTTAAGAATTTAAATGTACTATTAAATAACAATGAGAATAGCCTCATATCATGATTCATGCCCATTTTTCTAAACCTGGAACTACAAGCCAGACGGCACAGACACTTATTTTTAGAACACCCGTGAGTCCTCGTGCCAGGACTTACAAAGAACAAGAGCGAAATGTATTACTACACTGCCTGACTGAGTCCTCCAGCCAGGACTTAGAGAAAGAACAACAGCGAAATGTATTACTACACTGCCTGACTAGTGTCACACTTGCACAAAGCTGTTCTAAACAAATGATTTGGTTTCTGAGATTATAAAACATTCAATATTTGTCTATGTACATAGAAACTTATAAAACTAAAGGATAATAACATTCTTTAACATCTGCTTTTATCCAATAAAACACTCTCAATGAGATCAAATAACCGAACAATTTCGATCACGTATCTGCATGTAAAGTCGGATATTTCTGAATTACGTGGACTAAAACTCAAACCGATGCCTGAAACCAATTTCTCTGAATTAATATAAATAAATCCTTTAACCTCCATCACAGTTTCACATCACTAAACCGTCACGCTCTGGAGTTAAAGTGTGGCCGGCAGCCCCGCAGTATGGGGATATACGTAAATCCTCCGTTCAAAAATTATAAAGGTTAAAAAAGGTGTAAGACTTGAGGTTCTCACAGCGATGAGTATGAAGATTTCTGTCTTCTGGGTTGTTGCGCCGTGTAGTCTGGTTGATGTTAACCAACGTTTCAGAGGTCATACTGCCTCCGTCATCAGGG